TGTCGATTGGCTTTACTGGAAGATTCCGGTGAAAAGGTGCTAAACTTTCGTCCGTCATATGACTATCATCCTCAGAGCAAGGTATCATCATCACAATACAATTCAAACTAACGAGTCGTCAACTGGATTGCGATTTTTATGAGTAGAAAGGAACAACTGGCAAACAGGTTGGAGGGGACTAAATGAAAGTCATAAGTCCAGAATCTGTTTACGCTTCCCTAAATCTACTTGAGGTGACAAACTCTTGGGTGACCTTAGAACAAACCAAGACATAGAATGGTGTGAACATGAAGTGGGGCTAAGGGATGGGGGTGTGTCGCTAAGACACTAGTACATAGGTGGGGAGGAGTGATGTCACAATTGTTAACTGAAATAGGGTCTAAGAGATATCCTTCATTCGTCACTGATTATTTGTAACTATGCGCTAAGGGTGACGCCTCTTACTGACGATACCGGCGAAGCGTGTCTAAGTGCACCGAGACAACAGTCCGATGCTGGAAAGCATTCCATAGTCTCCCTGACGGTTCTATCCAAGTATTGAAAACGAGGTAAAGCGAAGAAGAAGAAGAAGCCTAAACAAATTGTTTTTTGATCTGCCTCCATTCTATTGACATCATCTTTCGCCCATAGGGAATCCCAGCTTACCAACCATACAGCAACGGTGACTAAGTCCAGTGTAAGTCTGTTCAGTGAGGCAAAGTAGACATGAACTTGAAGTCATTTTTCGCTGTAATTTTTATTATTTCCATTTAAGGAAATTTTCCTTGACCTAACAATCCTAAGTAAATTGCAGTTTCGACCTCGTCTGAGTCTTAGTAGCACTCTTAACTGAACTTTAATGCTCAGGCTCAAGTCTCGAATCCCTTCCAAATAAAGTTTCCTCGAGATGAAACTTTGATCAATCTTGTGATATACCTGTACTTGTTTATATATATATATATATATATATATAATATATTTCTTCATATATTATATATCATATATCACAATGTATAATATTATATATATATATATATATATAAGTACATTTAATATATAAATATATCTGTCTGTATATGTTTGTATTTCAGTTTTTACATGCATCACAAGTATATACATTCATATATACAAATATATATATAATACCTATTTTATTTATAATATAATATAATAAGATATGATATTATACATGCATATATATATATATATATGTTATAAATTTATATTAAAGTTTCTCGCTTCCTACTTGCATTCCCCATCTAATGCAGAAAATCTAAGCCGACTTGAGTCAGGTAAGGGGCTTTAGTCACGCCGAAATGAGAAGCAGCTTATCTGGCCGCGTACACATTCCTTTTTACACTGGCCAAATCTCTGGAAGCCTATCGAGTCTAAATCCTGTATCCAAATCTTGCACAGTCTAAAACTTTCTTGCGCCAAATTGCCTGTGTTGTCTTTGACTTTATTATCTGCTTCACCTTTTATCTATTGTTTGTCGCTACTTTTCACTTCCTCCCCTTCTTTCTTATCTCCATTATTCTCTTTTTCTTCCCTCTCTTCCTCTATTTCTTTTTCTCTGTCTCGCATTACATCATCCTTTTGCCAAATCTTCTGATCATAGCAAATATGACATTGAAATCAAAGACTTCGGGCCCAGTTGGCGCGATGGGTTGGCATTTAACGCCATGGTACACAACATTGATCCGCGTCTGGTCGACATGTCTGTGGTGCCGAAACGCAGTAACCGGGAGAACCTCGATCACGCCTTTGATGCGGCCGAGGCACATTTGGGCATCCCGCGACTTCTGGATCCCGAAGGTAGGGAATTGCAGTGTTTTCTCGTGGAGACGGGCACAGTGAAGGATCGTTGAAATGAGTCGGAAGATGCTCTCCCCGGCCGGAGTTATCACTTCGCCTGTCTATACACTTTTAGTACTTTTCAGCGGCGTAGCTTTTAGCCTTATTTTTCTAGACAGACCAGACTTTGCTTTCTGTTGTTGGTGTTTGCTTCGTTGCGTGCATTTATACTCCTTACTCTTGCCCTGTACGTGTGTTCTCGGCCTAATTCAAAGGGAAAATTGAACATGTGCCACAAACCTTTACTGCAAATCTGGTGGAATTTGAGCTTTCTTGACGCTCAAGGAGCCTGTGTGGCTGGACAGAGGCATATTTAGATTAAATTTCGCGAATGTTCTTCCAAAGACGTCTACTTGCCTTGTCTTTTTACCTTGTGGTTAGTTTTATTTGACGGGAAATTGTAGTTCTGAAAGGTTCACTATAGCCTCCTTAACCTCACGAGTTGTGCAATAAAGAATATGGCAAAGGTGACTTGAGAGGATTAGAGTCTGATTCTTGAGCCTTCATATATCTCGGGCATAAGTCCATGTTTCGGCTGCATCTCTCAGCACCTGTGCGAGGATTCGAACTCTGGTCCTGTGTGTCTGTCGGATACGCAATTTAGCTTCACCAATAGATTTCAGCGGTGTCTTAAACCAAATGTTATCACCATGACCCATTTCGGTTGAATGATATGGAGACAGAACACGATTCTACTAATCGTGGATCAAGGAGGCTCGCGATTTTGTCAAAAGTGCTTTGTTTAAAGCCACAACAAGACAGTCCCCATTCAATGTGGACTGTGGTTCCGATTTCACCCTTAGTCTTGTCAGACCTCCGAACGGAATTCAACTGTGAGTGTGTGGATCCGGGATCAGACACGGTACCCCTGAAGCCGCGTTGAATTATACA